TAAGAGGACACGGTCACAGGTTCTAGGGATTAGGACGTGGGCATTACTCTGCCTTCCATAATTAATGACATGAAAGGACTTACAAAACATAGCATAAAGTTAAAAAAAAACAAATAGAGAAAACTGTGTATAACATGAAACAATATTCTTTAGAATACACACAATTTAACACTGGTTACCTTTGAGCAACTTGTACCATGTGAATATGTTCATGCCTTACTTGAGAATTGTGCTACAGTGTTTCCTGAAGAACTATTTAAAAACAAGGAAATCCTGCCCTGACCGGTGTGGCTCAGTTAGTTGGGCACTGCCCCACAAACCAAAGGGTTCGGTGTTTGATTCCTGGCCAGGGCACATGCCCTTGCAGGTTCAGCACCTGGTTGGGTGCATATGGGAGGCAACTTGATGTTTCTCTCTCACATCAATGTTCTCTCCCTCTCTTTTTCCCCTGTAGGTTCCCTTTCCCTCTCTCTAAAAATAAAATAAATATAATCTTTAAAAAAATAAAAATAAAACAAGAAAATATTTAGACTAGATTTTTAAGGGAAAATATTATAAAATGGTATATAAAATGGGAACTTAAACTCCATTGATAATATTCTTTCTTCTATGTAGAAGGGTGAACAGGCAGTTGCTAATTTTATTATTCCTTATATTCTCTTCATATACATCACACAGCTGTCTTTTTTAAGAGAGTAGTGCCTGTGTTGCCTTGCCAGTGAAGACTAGCACTAAGGGAGGTAATGATGAAGAGTGGTTAGTTAAAAGTGTGCCTTTTATTTCACCTTTTTTGAGAATGTCATGCTAAGCAAACTCAGTCAGACAGAAGTTAAGAACTATATGATTTCACTCATACGTGAGAGAAGAAACTGAAAGCAACACATGAACAAATAAGAAATACAAACAAAAAACTCATGCACACAAACAACAGTATGTAAAAATACCAGAGGGTAAGAGCGTGAGCGGGGAGTAGAGGGCAAAGGGGGTCAAATACATGATGTGAGAGCTGATTTGACTCTGGGCAGTGGGCACATAATGCCATACACAGATCGTGTGTCATAGAATTGTACACTTGAAACCTACATAATCTTATTAAACAACATCACCCCAATAATTCAACCTTAAAAAGTGTAGCTTTGAAAGCTTTATCACAGAAAAAATATTAGAGGCAGGAGATTCTTTTTTCAGGGTTTTAAAGAAAAAATGGCATTGGGGGTAAGAAGTGAAATGAATGCACAGCATCAGTGGGGTGAAACAGAACTTGCATATAGAGTATGAACCCAAAATTACAAACATATGTATTTGGTTACAGAGATACACAGTAAACAAAGCTGAAGATATTTAAAACATTACCTATAATGACTCCTAGGTGGTAGAATTACAGGCTAATGTTTTATCTTTATTCTTGTATTTCTCAAATATCTATAATAAATGTTTCTATTGACTACTTTTCCTTGCCCATGTCTTTGTGTCTTTGTGTCTTTTCTAGGCCAATTTTATTACATTTTAGACATTGTGGGTGGTGCATTATAGGGACTCAGGTTCTGTTATCTTCCTCTGAAGAGTACTAACTTCAGAGTGGCTGATCCCTCTGAACTTAGGTTGGTTTGAGCTTATTCTTTGGCAGGGAAGAAACACGATCCCCAAGCCTTTGTAACATGGTGGCACTCAAGACTCCAAACTCTCTCCTTAAAGTCTCACTGGGGTATGGTTTCAGGCTTTGTTAGGGCAGGTCAAGGGCAGGTCAAGGACAGGTATTTCTCTGGATCACGGTCCCTATTAAAGCACAGCCTTCCCATTTTCTCAGCTAAATGCCAAGCACGAGCAATAAGGTATTAACAAGTTTGATCCACTCTTGTAGCCTGAATCTGCTAAACTGCTAATATCTTTTTAAAATCCAAGCTCCATAGCAGCAACATTCTGATAAATTGTGGGCAATTTATATCTGCACACAATGCACTCAGACTAGCCTTTCTGAGGGCTCTCGGATGATCTGCACGTGGACTTCTGAGCATTTTTCCCTGCACAGCACCCTCATCTCTGGTGTCCTGAGCAGGATCGCTGTGCTCTACCTAGATTTCAGCTTGCAGTCAAAAAATTGTCCCCAGATGAAAAGCTGGGTTGACTGTGGGGCTCACTTAATACATTTTCCTTCATTCAGAGTTGCAGTCTTACAATGCTCATTCCCCAGTGATTGAAAAGAGTTGCCAAATAAATATTTTCCAGTTGTATGCCTATTAATTGCAGTAGTCCAGTATCAGGTACAACAAACTGTGGAAGTCCAGTTGGGTTCTCGTATAGAGATTTTCATCTTTATGAATTATCTATTACTAGAGTAGCTTTTATGTAATTCAGCAACAGATGCTACCATGCATTTGACTCATTGCAGAAAATCACGTTTAAATGTTACTGTGTATTATGTGATGTGAAATGTCAATACTATTAATATGAAAATTAAATAGTTACTGAACATTATTTATCATTCATTTTTACTAAGCAAGATCCATTTATTAATAATTATTAATTTACAACGCTTATGGAGAGTATATTGTTGCTCATTATTTCATGTTCTTAAATTCACATGTAATGCTGCATTACAAATGTTTGCGAGTGCCACAGATATTTATAAGTGCAGCTCAAAATTAATTAGCTCAAAACTTAATTGAAACTTTTTCCTCAGGTTGAAACAGAAAGTTTGTCAATTTATGAATTTATTTTTTTAATTTTTAGTATATTTTATTGATTATGCTATTATAGTTGTCCCAGTTTTTCTTCCATTTATCACCCCTTTGCCCTGCAACCCCCAAACTTCAACATTCCCCCCGCCCTTAGATCATGTCCATGGGTCATACATATAAGTTCTTCGACTTCTCCATTTCCCATACTATTCTTAACTTTCCCTCATCTATTTTATGCCTACAAACTATGCTTCTTATTCCCTGTACTTCCTCCCCATCCTTCCCCTCTTCCTCCCCAGTGATAATCCTCCAAATGATCTCCATTTCTGTGAATCTGTTCCTGTCCTGGTTGTTTGCTTTTTAGGTTCAGTTGTCGATAGTTATGAGTTTGTTATCATTTTACTGTTCATAGTTTTTTATCTTCTTCTATTTCTCAGATAAGTCCCTTTAACATTTCATATAATAAGGGCTTGGTAATGATGAACTCCTTTAACTTGACCTTATCTGGGAAGCACTTTATCTGCCCTTCCATTCTAAATGAAAGCTTTGCTGGATAGAGCAATCTTGGATGTAGGTCCTTGCCTTTCATGACTTGGAATATTTCTTTCCAGCCTCTTTTTGCCTGTAAGTTCTCTCTTGAGAAACCAGCTGACAGTCTTATAGGAACTCCTTTATAGGTAACTGTTTCTTTTTCTCTTGCTGCTTTTAAGATTCTCTCCTTATCTTCCATCTTGGGTAACTTAATGATGATGTGCCTTGGTGTATCCTCCTTGGGTCCAATTTCTTTGGGACTCTCTGAGCTTCCTGGACTTCCTGGAAGTCTATTTCCTTCGCCAGATTGGGGAAGTTTTCTTTCAATATTTGTTCAAATATGTTTTTCATTTCTTGCTCCCGTTCTTCTCCTTCTGGCACCCCCATGATTCAGATGTTGGAATGCTTAAAGTTGTCCCAGAGGTTCCTAAGTCTCTCCTCATTTTTTTGAATTCTTCTCTCTTCATTCTGTTCTGGTTGGATGTTTATTTCTTCCTTTTGCTCCAAATCATTGATCTGAGTCCCAGTTTCCTTATCTTCCCTGTTAGTTCCCTATATAGTTTCCTTTATTTCATTTTGTGTAGCCTTCATTTCTTCCTTCATTTTGTGATTGAGGTCAACCATTTCTGTAAACATCCTGATCATCAGTGTTTTGAAGTCTGAATCTGATAGGTTGGCTATCTCCTTGTCACTTAGCTCTTTTTCTGGAGTTTTGATCTGTTCTTTCATTTGGGCCATATTCCTTTGTCTCAGTGCACCTATTATGTTGTAAGGGGGCAGAGCCCTAGGTTTTCGCCAGGGCGGGAAACCCTCTTTGTGATGCTGTGTGTGGGGGAGGGGTCAGAGAGGGAACAGTGCTGCTTGCTCAGCTATTGTCCCACTTTTCATCACTTCCCACTCTAGCCCCACTTTCCAAAGAACTCCCCTGTGAGACTGGGAGTTTCTCTTACCATCACAACCCCCACAGTATTGTACAGCTAGAGGTTTTGAGTCTTTAGTTTCCTAGTCAGCCAGCCCCACCACACCCACAAGGTCCACTGCCTCATCATGTGTCCTCATCGCTTGGCTGCCCATCTCTGCCCCTCCTACCAGCCTAGAATGTTTCTTTAACTCCTTGGTTGTTGGAGTCCCATGCAATTTGATCTTACAGCAGTTCTGGTTGTTTATTGTCTTTCAATTGGTTGTTATCCTTCTTTTGGTTGTGCAAGGAAGTGAAGCATTTCTACCTATGCCTTCATCTTGGCTGAACTCCTATAAATTCCCTACCTCCAGCTCATGCTCAGAGCCTGCATCCTCTGGCTGGTCCAGGTCTATGTCAAACACTCCTGTCATGTCTTCAGCTTCCCTGTCTCAGAAGTCTGGCCTGGGTAAAAGCCACCCCACCTCTGTCATCACCTCATGGGCCCAGACCCACTGTAGTCACCGCTGCCACCACCACCATCACTAGCTGTTTGGGCGCAGTGCCCAATTTCTGAGTTTAATATATTGGACTACTTTACAGGGTAATGACTGACAAACACACAGTATAGGTTCATAATTTCAAAGTTCCACCATAATTCACCAAAATTTTATCTGATCATCCTCAATGACTATGTCTTTACCTTAGAAACGTTTTGTCAGTATGCCGTCCAATAAATGGCAGTTCAAAAGGCAGTTAGTGTTAATTGAGGGAAATGACTGACATCATTACTCCAAAGGTTTTTGGGACAAAATCTAGAATCTAAGCACTTGGTGATTAACAGGATGGCCATCAAACGAGGACTGTCACTTCACTGGCTGGGGTACATTTACCTTGTTATAAGTATGGCTGCATCCACAGACGCTGCGTCCTCTCCCCAGCTGGTTGACATCTCTAAATGTATGTCATTCTTTTTGCCAAATTCTTCATGTTGCCACTTACAAAAACTCTCCAGCATTTTCTCCCCATGGTGCCCAATATAGAGATCTGCCTGCAAAAGAAGAGATTTCACTTCAAGGCAAATTATGCTCTGCTATACAAAACACTAGAAACTGAGGGGATGTCTTCAATGAGTAAAGCAAACTGCTCACTGTAACAATAATTAGAATCTGGGCATTGATGTTGCCTGAGCCAAAAATCATAAAACTCGGTGAGGTACAATAATTACACAATCCGTATACTGTTACTCGAAAAAAGGAGAGAAGTTCAATGGCATGTTCAGAATGTGGAACTTCTGGACTTAAGTAATTCATTATTTCTATAATTTTAAAACAAGGTTTTATGAAGTGCCAGTTAAGCAGCATGCTAAAATGTCACAGAATATTCTTCATTTAAAATGAACTACAGATAAGGCTTTACAAGCACATGCTCAGAGAAGAAACTAAAACTGTCATTAAATATGACTTTTTAACATTACTTTCAGAAAGTTAAGGTTTGCAGTCAGGATCCTTGGAAACCGAGAACAATCAATTTTCGGAATAAAATTGAGATACTCACCAAAACTAAGGACCAGTTTATGCATACCCTAAGTGATTCAGTGGATATTTCTGGACTTTAAGTCAACAAAAAACACATCCCTAATATTCCTGTACTTAAAAGCACCTGAACACAACTTGTCATCCACTTAAATGAGAACCAAAAACTCAAGACTTACTTACCGGCATTTCATGGAGAAGAACAAGCTTAATCACACGAAGGCTGACCTGCACGCCAAGGCTCTTGTGCTGGAAAAGGTTAAAAACCTGAAAACAAATAAAAATAAAAATCTAAAATAAAACTGAAAAACATTGTAATTTTTCTTAAAGCCCAGACACAAGAGAAGTCTTTACTTCATTGAGCAATCTCATATATGTTTAAATTGTTCAATTGTCTAAAACATTAGCTTAATAAGCAATAACTTAGCTAATTCATTTTAGACACAAAGAAATTTAGACACAACATTCTGAGATACTCACTGCAACCTTAGTAGTCTAAACATTTCAATGAGGTATCAAGACAAGGATGGGTTTTTCACAATACCAATGAGAAGAATTTTAGTAAACCCTAGAATCTTTCTTAATTCACAAAATGCCAGCATCCTCCTTCCTTCTGAGAAACAGTCCTGAAAACTCGGCCTGCCATATGCCATCTCCCCATTCATTCCTTAGAGTCTTTTTCTCTCTCAAACTAGCTGCCAAATACAAATAAGCTTTCAAAGCCCCCCTCTCCAACTCTGCCACAAGGATGAGCAGCTGACGGTTTCCCATCAGCATTACAAGAAGCTTTCTCAAAATGTGGTGTGTGTGGCCATGCTGGAAAACAAGGTGAATTTTTGTATGTAGTCCCCTGAGTTTTTGTAAAATTTGGCATTTGTTTAATTTGTCATAGAAAATACTGACACACCACACCCATGGTCTCAGAGATAGCACTCGTCGGAAAGACAGACTGGCTAGACTGTGCTCGCCTGCCCTGCACTGACTGCTGGCGGGGCGTCCAGGAGGTTGCTGAACACACGCATAAATGACTAAAGTGAGGGAAAATCTGTTCGCTGGGGAAGCAAGTCAAATAATAACAAAAAGAGGAAAAATGGGAATTTTACAAAAACAGAACATAATTTATCCTTAATCAGTGGTGCTTACCCTGCCTTCCATGGTAGCTGGAATTATAAATGGACATTTGCCTTTGGCTTTTATTTATGTTTATTCTCTCCTAAGAAACACTCTTCACCACAACCTTCTAATTCTGCTTTCAAGGAGGTTTACCCAAATGGTGATGCAATTAAGCCAAAGGACTCACAGGGTAGTGAGCACCCGGGACAGGCTAGGTGTGGGCTAACTACCGCAGTTCGGGAACGCTCAACTGCAGTTAGCTACACATGATTCAGCTGGCTAAAAATTTAGCTACTAGCTATTAGGTCTTACTTATCAACTAGTATTATATAGAATATCCAATTTTACTACCTATATAAGAGCTTGGTGGATTACCAAGCTCCGTTTTTATTCTACCTCATAATCCAGAGTACTTTGCAGGGTCATGCATATAAACAAATATAACATTTCTGCCAATTTCAACAAACAGCCTTTTTATCAGTGAGAATAAAATGAAGAGAGCAAAAAAGGAGAGGAAAGAATAAGAGAATTTTGCCACATAGAAATGAAAAGTTTTTGTTTTTTTAATTAAATGATGTGAATTATTATTTTGATATCTTTTTTGAAACAGATCAACTTGGTAAACCTAAAGATTTTTTTATTGATGTCAGTAAAGAAAGTAATAGTAATGAGTTAATTTTTAAAGAACTTCATTATACTCACACATTTCTTCCTTAGAGCTTTCTTGAAAAAATTCCAAGCGCACTTTAAAGTTTGCCTACCATATTTAGGATGGTTAGAATGAATCTCCTGGCCGCATCCGCTCCGTGGTGGGAAACCACTGCTGGGTCTGCAACCACTACCGTCTCTATGTTGTATTCTTGAGGTAATTTGTATGAATATCGTTTCCCTCTTCCACTCTCTGTTATTTTTTTAGATCTAGGTCTTCCTTTATCTGCAACAGAGAAATGAATTTTCAAATGTGCCTCTCTTGGCAAAGTAAACAAAAAAAATTTCTGTTTATTTAATAATGTTAAAAATATTTACTGAATACCAACAAGTAATGATGATACAATGAGGAGCAAACCCAAGTAAGTTCCCTTTGCAAGCAGAGCCTCAGAGGGCACCCGGCATTGGAGTATGCCTTTGGAAGCCAACGGGAGGGACCATTACTGTTCATTAGCTCTGCCATTTGGGAAACGAACATTGCTAAGGCGGCCTTTGTTTCCTCATCAGCAGAATGAATAATACTAACACATATTTTCCAGAGTTGATGATGGCTTATAGGCAGTCACATTAGTAAAAATCTCTATAAATAAAATAACTCAATAAATTAAAAAATACCATGATTTTCTTTTTGAAACTAGTAACAAAATAAAGGTCTACTTGCAAGAAGTGCCTGGAGTGACTTCACCACACATCCTAATTTTAGGCAGGTGCTCTTAATTACAAAAACATTATGCGTGGATTACAAAGGATTTGGTTCTGCCTTCCATCAGGATCATATAGAAGTTATAGCCTTAGGGTAATAAAGATTCTTCAAACAGGGCCAAATAAAAGCAGTAACCACAAATAAACATATTTATAAATTTAAGTACATAAAATATAATATTTCTGCTTATTAAAACATGCCATTATCATAATGAAAAACATGCCACCAAGTGGGAGAAGATATTTACAATGTTTTTCCATAATAAAGAAATAAAAGCTACTCTAAATCAATGACAGATAAACCAATTGGAAAACTGGCAAAGGACTTGAACAGCAATTTTCTCACAACAAGGATATCCAAATGGCTAACAAGAAGCATACGAGAAGATGCTCAATCGCATTAATCTTCAGGGACATATGAATTAAAATCACAATAAATTAAATTAATTAAAACCCCTAAAATGGCTAAAATAAAGAGATGATTATATTAAGTGTCAACCAGAATGTGAGGACAAGAACTGGAAGTCCCACACACATACATGCTGGGAGTTTAAATTAGGATAAACATTTTGGAAATCTGACTGGCAGTATCCATTAAGGGTGAACATTCGCATACCCAACGATCAAAGATCTAAAATATACACTCACCTGAAATGCATGCAAGTCACATGTGCAAATTGTTCAGGGCAGCACTATTCTTAATAGTTCAAATAACCATCAACAGTATAATGGATAAAGAAATTTTGGCCTATTCATACAATGAAATGCTATCTATCAATAAAAATAAGCCAACTACTGCAAAGTGTAAAAATATGGATGAGCCTCCTGAAGATAAGGCTGAACACAAGAAGCCAATCGCAAAAAAGTAGGTGGGATTTGGGTTCTATCACCCCAGAAAGCATGTGGAGTGAGAAGAAAAGGAGGAAGTCCCAGGAAATGCCTCCATTTAGGGGCAGACATGTGGAAGAACACACGCCCATGGAGGAGACAGAGATGTAAGAAAAAGAAAAAGAGAGTGCAAATGAAATCAGAGAGATAGTTACAGAATGAGGGGCATGTAACAGAGAAAGGAAAGTTTGTCTCCTTCATTGCCCAGCAGCCATGTTTGGGAGTTATATGTAAATAGGCAACTTGGGACAATCTCAGTTCTTCAGAATCTCAGCCTCACAGTAGACGCCATCATACAAGTTACCCACGTGAAACTCGTGCATATTGAAGTCATCTTTTTGTTAAGTTGCTTCCTTTCAAGACTTCATTGTCTACATCAGCTATGCGCAGCTCATTCTTCATCTCCTAAACCCTCAGACCTCTTCCCACCCACAGGCAGGTGTGAAAAGGACAGAATTGATGTCGCACACTTCCAGTCAGAGAAGAAATTTTAAAATGTGTGTTCACCAGTGCTCAACATATGATCTCCGAAGAATCCTCCACATACTGACAAAAACCTGCACAATGGGCCTGGGCAGCATGTGGACACAATTTCAGCAGTGGTCTGAGTCCTAGACATACTCATAATTTATGCTAAACCATCAAGGAATATATGCAATGATGATGTCACTTGCTTGCTTAAAGTCTCCAAAATCACATTGGCCTTCCAGATAAAGTCCTTCCCCCAGTACACAAGCACCCCGCCCCCCATCAGCCAATGACACCTCTCCAGGGCTGTCGCTCCTCACCATGGGGCAGACTTTTGGCTTCAGTTCCCCAAGTGGATGCCACTGTTCCTTCTGCCAAAATGCTTTCCCCAACAATGACATGTGCTAAAAACCTCACACATGTTTTTCATTGGCACACATAATCTCATTTAATTCTGACAACTACTCTGAGCTTCGGGGATCCATCTCCCCATTCTGTGTATTGTAAATGGAGCTTCTGAGAGACAAAGTTAAGTTTTCCAAAGTCGTAAAGCTGGGAAGCGGTAGCTCACGGATGCGAGCACAGGCAGTCTGACCCCAGAGTCCACGTCTCCACCGTCACTCTCTGTTCCCTCCTCCCCTGTGGTGTGGGTACATTTTACCTGATCTTTGAGGCTCAGCCCCCCAACAGCAGAAGTTTGGGATCTTGTATACTGAGTCCATCACAGTTCTTGTCAAACTACTCACAATGACTCATTTACCAGTTTGTCTAAAACAATACACTGGCCACCTCTTTCAAATAAGAGTTATGTCATTTAGCTCTACATCCCTGTAAGGTGACAGGTTCTACTTGTGTTGCAAATAATGAAGGTAAGCTTCAAAAGTTTAAGGGATTGAAGAGTTTGCAGTTAGAGTGGGACTTGAACCCAGGGCCTCTGAGCCTCAACCTCATGCACCTTCCCCTTCTCTACACTACCTTCTAATAGAATACAACAAAGTCATCCTAAAGTATGAAGGTCCCTGTTTTGAAAAAAATATTCATATAATAACTATGTATAAACATAACATACCTAAAGGCATTAAAACATTGAAGGGCAATAGCACAAGGACTAAGCTGAATCCAAGAATACTTTATGGTCCCACGGTGCAAGGGCAAATACTGCGACATGACTCAAATTTGAATCACGCATTTAGCATGTGACTACATCAGCCTGAACTAAGTAGAGCTACAATTAGACATAGCAGTGTAAGTAAATGAATATTTTATTTCATAAACTGTTCATTTAAAATAATTTTTAAAATTCTAGGCCCTTCAAAAGCTACTGAAAATAGGTCAGCTTGACAAATATCTGACTGAAGCCAGCCCAGCACTCCCTGCGTGTGAGTGCTTGACCCAAATAGGTCAATTAATGTACAACGGTTACGCCTCACAAAAAAACGACTACAGCTTCAGGAGAAATGTTTGCCAAATATGAACCATGTATTCACACTTTATAAACCCATTGAAATTGAGAGTTTCTTTAGAAACCTTTCCTCTGTGCACAGTGGCACACCAAGCCTGCCTGGGTCGTCGGTGTACACGGCGTGTAGAACAGCTGGAACCCACGGTGACTCGACAGCCGCACGGTGCGGGCTTTCAGTGTAACTCGTGGAGGGCTGTCTCCTCAAGTGGACTCAATTCCAGTTGTGGGCACCATTGTCATTTCATGATATGAAAGCCTTTCTTTCGCTTGGTCACAATGCTATGACCTTCATTCAGCTGTTTTCTCTCTCCGGTGTCAATAATTCTTAGACTAGAGAAAGGTAATGTGCCTTTTTTAAAGTGATTTGATTGTGTGTTTTGAGGGTGACTCCCCTGTAGACTGAAATCATAACCTTTCACAAAAGAAAATAGATATCCTGGGCTAATTTAGGATGAATCTGTCTATCTGTCTAAACAGAAATATCTTATAATTCTTTCTGAATCCAAACACTCTAGGCAGTGATGAAATGAACATCCTATGGCCTCTGCAAAAGTGAGTGTTGTCATAATCCATTTATTTAAATCGGCCTCAAAACCATGACCAACTTGAGACCTAATATCTTGTCATTAACTACACTAGCACCTAACTGTAAATCTGCATGCCAAACTTTAAAATTTTTGCACCAAAAATTCTTCAAATAATTCATATTTCCTCAGTTTCTAATCTCGTATCAGTGAACATTCAGTGAGAGGTCTGGTTTAGATGTCTACACATTTGTCCTAGGGAAACTCATTCTTTTCCAGACATTGGCTATCACTTCCAGGTCCTACTTCTGTAAGAGAAATCATTCATTTCCCCTACCATTCTTGCCAATGCCACAGTCCCTGCCCACAGAAGTAAGAGGGTGCATAATATGCCCACCATCTCACTCCTGCAAAGAACAGGCAGACAAACAGAGACAAGGATTTGATTATTGGCAATGTTTATGTGCCACTGAAAATGCCAGGTGTAAAGCATGCTGATACTGAGAATAAAATTCAAAGAAATAAATGTTTACTCTTCTTCCTACTTCTCTGATCATTTGAACCTCCAAGATGAGTTTTACTTGGGTCAACTTAAAGAAGAAAGGAAGAGTAACAGATGCTTCTGGTCCAAGGAAAGAGGTAGCTATGATGTTCCAGGAGAGGTGGACTAAATGAAGGCCATGAGCTCACAGTATCGGTTTCGGGAGAGCTGGAATTCTCAGTGTTGTTTCTATTCTGGGGAGGTGACCCAAATTCCATGAGAAACTGCACAGCTCAGGAGAGGTGTGGGGGGCATGCAGTATATTAGTCTCAGAAGTCCTTTTGAGTTCACATTTCTTGGTATTAAAACATGGTACTTCCCTGAAAACTAAAAGATAAATTGAAAGTAGATATATTCAACTGTCATCGACCAAAAGAAAAAGATAAAGCTAGTAAATGAATGGATGGGTGGATGGAGGGATGGTTAGTTGGATGGATGGATACAATTTTTGAAGGATTCATCTCCCATTGCACATTGACTGAAATCTTTCCAAAGGTGTTACCTGAGAGGACACCACAGTACTGACTGTGAGGAGTTGGCTTCTCTGTGACTCTCTCCCCCATCGACCTTTTCTGCCTATACACACGATGCGGGTGACCCGTTATGGCCATTGTGTCATTGAGTGGTTCAATAAATATGAAGTCCTCATTGAGTTGAATAAATCCCATCTGGAATAAATAACATAAAGACATGTAAGAAACACCATGTGAATAAATTACTTGCTGGGTGCTCCCGCTCACACGCTATTTTCTTTCACATATGCACATACATTCTTCTAGTGAAGCTATTTTAGCAACCGCATAATAAAGTAACTGTCTTCCCATTTTATTACTTCGTCTTTCTGTACTTTATTGCACGAGCATAAACTTCATTTAGTGAGTCTGAGCCGGTGTGGGTGGGAGGCTGGATGCCAGCAGCAGATGCAGAGGCAAAATTCTGGAATGTTAAAGGCTCACTTTGGGAGACCCGTGGGCTCACTTACACGTAGCGCATATGCAAGACCAACGCGGTTTTAATTGCACACGCCACACAGTCCAACTTCTTGACAATCATTACTTAATACAGCAAGTCTTGGAACCCATCAAAGCAAACAGAGGAGACAGGGCACTAATGTTATTGTATAAAATATTCTTAAAGCCTTCTACGAAGCATTTTGAAAACCTGTGAATGACAGATTATGGCAAAAATAAAATATGACTTTATTTATTTTACGGAAACAAGTTTCATTTCATACAACGCCATGTTTTTAAAGTTCAGCAACTGGGGGCAGAGGGCTAGACACTGTGGAGTATGGTTATGAGCAAGAAAAAGAACTTCTGACAAGTAGATATCCTTTCATCCCACTGAAGAACCTAGTCATTTCTGTCCTTGCTTTTTTAGGATATAAATTTGCATTATAACTATGAAAATATTCCACGTGGAAGAACATATGCCTTAATCTTTTCAATTTTTTACTCCACTGTAATATATAGAAATACCTATTCAATGATTCTGTTAACTCTTCAGTAAATATTTTTTGAGGAAATAATCCCTTAGAACTTGCATTATTCATATACACTCTGTTAATGTCAAAGTTTATGATTCTGAGTTGCACTAATTATATGAAAATTATGTGCAGTTCATTTTAATTTAATCTACAATGTACCCAGCATAGTAATGAAATAATTACTTCTTCAGACAGTAATTCTCCAGAGCTGAATATTAAGAAAAAATAAATCTCTGTTAAACAAAATGTGTGTCTTCCTTAGAGGTATAAAAGAGGCTTTTTCTTTTGCTCTGTTTTAAGTATTATATTGCATCTCGTATACAAAAAAAAAAACCAGGTGATTGCCAATGTCCTGCCTCATTTTATTCTGTAAGAACTGACATTACAAGACACCTTAATAATAAATCTAAAAATCCTCATCAGTTTCACTTTATTAAATTTTTTATACCACTAATAAAATTCTCAAGTACTGGAATCACAGTCGACCTCCTCTGTCTGTCCCCTTCTCTCTCTCTCTCCTTCCCCTCCCTCTTTCTCTCACACACCTCATCTGGGGATGGGGATAACGCAAACAAAATAGAAATTCACTCTAAAGATTTTTTTAAGATATGTAAATATTTCAGTGATTTTTTTAATGTAATTTTAACGAGTTCTGATGAGTTCTTTTATTTTCCATACACGTTCTCATTCTCTCAAATATAAAGCTAGCTTGAATTTTAAAGTAATTCTATGAAGCCCACACTTTTTCTCTGCATTCTAATTTGATGGGAGAAAAAGAGAATAAAAATATGTACAAATTGAAATAATAATCATAAAAGATGCAGTTCATTGGCATGTGGATTGAGGATCAGTGGTCTCACATTTTGTAACATTGATCTCATTGTGAAAATAAAGTAACAGAAGAATGTTACTTTTCTTATGCAGTAGTGTGCTTCTGAAGTTCAGTCAGTATTCAAGGTCACCAATATAATGGACAGAGTAGCTGATGGTTAAAATAATAATTATTATGGTGCTCAGTTAGAACATCTCAGATAAATATGCTCATCTTCCAGAAACTAAGTCATAAATTTGCAATCTGACAATTCTTTCAATACATTATAAGTATAGTTAGATTTATAACAATAAGCCCTAAAAAATTTCCTTGCATATTACCATATAAAACTTAATGACTCCAAGAACAAATTCTGGGTTGAAGATTGAGTTTACTAGACCTGCAACTATGGCAAATTTTCAGTGCTATTATCACAACAGCTTCATAGGGTTGGTTGGTCAAGATTCCTTTTTTAAAAGCCTATATAATGCTTTTATCACAGAATCTGATACTAGGCAACCAATCAATAAATGCTCGCCATAACTTTTACTTTATTAGTAAGAATAACCATAATAAATATAAGCACCCAAACATTTGAGTGTGGACTGCAGAACACAGAGAGTCCCAACAATCAAAGCTTATTTCTTTGTGTGCACATATCAGCATATGAAATATTGTCTGAAATAAATGGGTTATTTGAGTTATAATCTGGAAAGCTCTTCACAACATAGAATTATCTGTTGGGTCAGGATGTTATCTATAGACATTTCCAAAAGGGGAAGGCCATGTTTAACAAGGGGAAAAAACACTGGAGTAACTACAAATAGTGACTCACTCACTGAGTATAAATTCACGGTCTGACCGCAGCGTGCCAGGCCCAGGTCAGTCCGGGGCACACGCAGCACAAGTCCTGGGTGCTCTCTCTCCAGAGGAGCGCTTCTGTCAGGGCGGGAATGCTCTCCTGCGGATGGGGACGTGCTCTCGCTGAGTCTGTCTCTTCCTAGATAATGACTTGTACTAAAGAATCGCTGAGAATCTTGAGGTTTTCTGAGTCTCCACACAGGGCTTACTTTTTCCACCAGCAACATGCATTATGTTTCCTGTCCTGTGATTCTCCAGGCCACGGAAGAACACAAGCCCATATGGGCCTCTCTGCGTGAGGGCGCCGTGTTCCGCCATCCACCACCCGGCAGCACTCGCTTGGAGGGCGAATACTGTCCTTGCAGTTTTAGAAGGAAAGTAAAGATTGTGTGACTTACTATGACACGATTCACTATCTAGAATAAATGCAGACTGTATGAGCGCTTTTCTTCCAGTTGCCCGTTTTAGATCTTCTTTCAGTCCGACGTTTTATGCTCGTATTTGGAAATGCAGTCAAGTCCCACAGTTACCTCCTGCCTTACTCTGTCATCGTACATGTTTCCACATAGCCTGGCATCCATTCTCTTGTCACCGAATGGGGTTCTTTGATTTGACAATTCAGCAACAATTTCGGTATTGTGCGAATGCACCATCGCTCACGTGAAACTGTTACCAGCCATCTCTTTTTCCTGCCAGTTCTGGTATTTTATTTCTCTACTTAAATATCTTTGTGCTTTTTTTGAAACAGCTGTGAACCTGGACCTTCATGCAGATGCACTGATGCTGCCATCAGCTTCTCGTCACAGCACGGCATTTTTGGGGCCGATGTGCATGCATTTTTATATACCGTTTCTTCAATTCAGCAAATATCAGTGTCTCATTTGTTTGAATTTAAATGAGCCATGGTCTATTAAACAAAGAAACAGATTCTAATGTTCTAATGTAAACAAAACTAAAAATAAACTACAAAATTAGAAAGCAACACGGCACTCTGCATTCTTGTTTCCATCCCTACTAGGTTACGTCCCTCCCTTTCCTGCCCTCACTTCCTGCTCACAGAATAAAGCACTGCTGTGCTTATCTCAAGTTTTTTCTTTTTCAACTTGATTTTTATTGTTGACACTATTACAGATGACCCTCCCCTCCTTGCCCACTTCTACCCAGCCCCCACGCCCTCCCCACCCTCTGGCCGTCCCCACACGGCTGTCTGCTTCCATGAGGTATGCATGTGATCTCTGGCTAATTCCTTCACCTTCTTTCACCCAGCCCCTCCACCCTCTCCGCTCTTCATTCTCCCACGTTCCTTTCTTGAAATTGCCTTTCTTTTCCAAAACCTTGGTCTTCTAACTAAACTTTCACCAGATTGGCTGAAGGTATTTTATCTGAGGCTCAAACTGTGTATTTTGAAAGCCTTTGAGAATACCCAATTTTTAAAAATATGCAGCACATCACAAGAATGAAATATCATTAATGCAAAGGGACATGTGGAAGGTGGTAGATTGTTATAACTTCAGGATCCGAGAAGAGTCTCGAGGAATTAGCAGGATTTGGGTTAGACTGCAGCAAGGCTGCTCCCTAGGAGAAGGGGACTGGGACCACGGGCGAAGAGGATGTGCATTCACCGAAACGGTTCAAGAAGAGAACTGGAGAAATGTAGCCAAAAAGTGAAGTAAACCCATATAACTGGAAACACCAAACAACCGAGTTCTTGATAAGAAAGGGCAAGTCAACCTCCTAACACTCTGAGGATGATTCGCCTACCATCCAACGATAGGACAGATCAGAGGACTAGCGAGATTCTGGACACAGCACAAGCATTTTATTTCTGAACAACAGTGAGAGAAGCTGCTGAGAAATCTGGCATCAGCATATGCTTGTAAAAACACTTTAGACAAATATTTGTCTGATGCTCTACATGATCTGAATGTCTATACAAGTTAGGCTTTATGTTATTAAGTGTTTTCTTGCATGGTAATGTTAGAATGTCTATCTCATTAAGTAAATACAGTTCTATGTACTTTGAGATGTAAACATCACATAGGCTAGACATAAATTATACTATAAGTTTGTTTTATGCTTTATTCAAACATGTCATTTTCAGCATTACTGTAAATGGGAGTCACTTTTCATACATTTGTGCATTCTGTGCACACACACAAACCTCTGTGAACACACACCTTCTGCACTGCATCTATCCTGCAGTCCTGTGCTGGCATACTGCTCATGACTCGATCCTTCCTACATTTCCCCTGCACGCCCACAGGGATCAACACCACGGTCATGACAAAGTCTAGCTACCACTCCGGCTTTATCTTTACCGCTCAAACGTCCTATATACCCCTAACAAACCAATTCTGATTGCATGAACAAGCTTTCGATTTTAACATGTTTCTAAAGAACATCCTGGTGCATGGTATGTGCTGCTTTCTTCCTTGAAAGAGAAAGGCACTGTCTGCGTGGAGAGTTATTTCTCCAAAGTCAAGCCAGCCCTGCCTTACCCATTGACTTCC